GATTTTATGCTCTATGGATGCTGCTTTGATGTCACTTAAGGTCTGGTATCTTAGGACTAGCGCCTTATCTGGGCGTCAGCGTAAAGTTGACGTAGAGCTGACGCCAAAAAAATACTTTTTTGTTAGCTCAGCGTGAGCAGTCAGTCCAACGCACACATTATCTCTCATTGCGCATGCGTTAATAACGTAAACAAATATTTATTTTGAATTTGTATTGATTTTGTTATTGTCGACCAGTGTTTTAGAGAACAAATNTGTGCACGATTACGACGAATTGAACTACGATGAACTATAATAATAATAACATTTATTTACATAACAGAGGTAAGTTCACACAAGCTGCGGAAGACCGCAGGCAATCCTTTTACATGACAATCACGACTACAACTACTGTGTTACAACATACTTAGGGGAGGCAGCCGGTAGCTGCTTACTTCGCTCCTTTAACATTGGAATGTGCGCCAAAGCGCCTTGTGCAAATTAATTCGGCACAGTGTCCTTTGTACACCGTTCATATGAAATTCTGTAATTTAGTATTTCGCATTTTTATGCCCTTAAAGTTGTAAAATCGATGTAAGAGTGAAAAAACAAAATTAAAAAACTTTAATTTGGTTTAGACACTCTTACATTTATTGAGGACATAAAAATGCGAAATACTAAATTACAGAACTCTTGTTTGAAGGATATACAAAGAGCATGTTCGTTACACGTCTTCCGGAAAATCAGGAATAATTCCTGGGACTGTCTATGAGATTTCCATCATCCCCGGATAGGTTATAGATCCTTATCTCATCCACGTAAAAGCTATGGTGTAAAAGATATGTAATGGACGACTTTTAGACTTCTACTGGATCTTCCCTGGATCAAACGTGGGTGTCTTGTGGACGTCTACCTGGCGACGACATGGACCTTTGTGGATGCTTGCGAGGACGTATAGTGGGTATACAATGGATGGTTTTGTGCTATATGGATACTGCTTTGGTGTCAATTAGGGTTAATTCAATTAGTTTGTCTAATTTTTTTGGTATTTTTAGCTCAGCATAAGCATTTATCATTTTCTTCCTGTCAACTTTATCCTAGATAGCAAAAATAAAAAATAAGGTTTATTTTCACTCAACAAAAACCTTTTAATGTAAACCTAGAAAGGTTTGTAATACAGTTTACGTGTAAACCTTCTAACCTTAAAACGAGATATGTGACTATCTGCTCTATTCTACGCACATTATCCTAATCCAAAACCTTGGAAAACCACCTTCTATATAAAAACCTTAAATCGAGGTTGACTTAGGGTTTTCAAGCGTGAAAAAAGGTGATAATAATCTTTAATCTAGGTAATTATAAGGTTTCGTTTTGCAAAATCTTGCATTCTCAGCTAAAATCCACCTTGTCATGAAATTTTAACGGGCATTGCTACTTGATCCTATCGCTAGTGTGACATCAGCTAAAACGTCATTATGGACCTAAAAAGTGACAATACTTTTTAAAAAAGCTTTAAAAAATAATTTTTACTCCTTTTAGGATGAAAGGTTTGAAACTGCAATATTTTTGCTTCATTGGAAAAAGGTTTTTAGTACAAACATTCCGTCGGCGTTCGAAGGCTGCGAGTTTAGACGTCCAGGAGAAATGTTGGAGGGGCGAGACATGGAACCGGTCTTCTTCTACGGCGTATCCGAGCGTTGCGAATTGTGATCGCGAAATACAAATTTTAAATAACAAGCAAATTCGAGAAGTAAAGAGAAAGAAATAGCCATGTTTTGCTATGTCGTCATGGAAAGTCAAAAGTTTTCCGGTGGGGTTTATTTGTTTTTTGTAGGGTAGATTCTGACAAACTAGTTTTTCGATGTAGAGTCGATTGAAAAACGGCTCCTATTGTCATCAGCTCACGCATGCGCACTGTAAGGGGTTTGGTGATGAAAGTTTGGCTTCAAAAATTGGAGTTGGAATCTTGGAAAGCCATGTGAGTTGAAGTTGAAGGTTTTGATTTTGTTGACCTAAGGAAATGAGCTTGTAACCTTTAAGCTATTTTTAATCAAATATTCTCGTACCCTTTCAATTATTTTTTACAGCCTCAATACAGCACTTGCAAAAATCGTAAACAAATCTTCGCGCTCAAGGATATTTTCATAAGTTACTTGTTCAAAAGTTGCCATAAGATTTTATCCTCGCTTAAGACTAAAAAAATTCAAATAACGAGAAAAAATTCTATAAGGTTCTTCTATAAGGAAAGAGGAAGAAATATTTGCCGAAATATAGTATAACGACAATACATACACACGATTATTTCAGTTGATTTCACAAATATTTCGGTTGAAATTAATTTTCAAACAGAAACTATTCCTGTAAATTAAAAGAAAATTTGGAGTAATAAAATATTTATATCTTCAGAATAATCAATTTCTTTCGAATACCTTAAATTACATTGAACTTTTTGTATTACGGAATTGTTATTTTTTATTTTTACTAACAATATATAAATACATTGTCACGCGAAAATGGATAGAAATTTAATAAGAAACAATATTGAAAGGAAACACCTTATTTTGTTTAATACATTGTCACCAAAATATCGACATATATTGGAAAAGAAGCAAAATCAAAAAAGATTCTTCATTTTGCTTAATGAAATGATTTTAAAAATTTTATTCGATTTCAGCGGTTTTTATTCAATTTTAATTTTTATTCCATTAAGTTTCAAGGAAAATAAATAACAATGCAAAGGTGTTGCCCTTCTAAATGTTCAATATTTAGATTATGATACTAAAAAAGTAACGTTTGTGAAAACCTTTGGTAGTGTGACATAAAATTTTTCTACAATTTATTTTCATAAAATGTAAGTAGCAGTATTCAAAAGAAATTCTTCATTTTATTTAATACATTGTCACACGAAAATGGATAGAAATTTAATAAGAAACAATATTTAAAGGAAACTTCTTATTTTGTTTAATACATTGTCACCAAAATATCGACATATATTTGAAAAGAAGCAAAATCAAAAGAGATTCTTCATTTTGTTTAATGCATTGTCTCTCAAACTATTTAAAACAATTATTGCTAAATAAAAGCTTATCCTCTAGAGCAATGTTCCCCAACCCCCGGTCCGCGGACCAGTACCGGTCCGTGGATGAAATGGTACCGGGCCACCCATTTCATTGAAACTGAATTTGAACCCCAAATTAAAAACATCTTTGTTCCATTACAATTTTATTTATTTAAAAAAAGGGGGCCCCGAAGGTAGTGACATAAATTTTTGTAATGTTTGTAATGCATCATTGTCTCCGATTACCCCCAGATGGAACCGTCTCATTGCAAAGAAACAAGGTCAGGATTCTAATTGATTTAACATTCTAGTAAGTTAAAATGCTAAATCACTTTATATTAATTTCTTGGTGTAACTGTATTTTGTTTTGAAGGCATGTTTAAATACAATTAAATTAAAATTAAGAAATCAAAATGATCTAAAATGTAAACAATCAACATCCCCCCCCCCTAGTGGGGCGCGGTAAAATTATCAAACGTTGACAGGTCCGCGGTGATAAAAAGGTTGTGGAACACTGCTCTAGAGTATAGGTTAAATAATAACAAGAGAAACTACATGCATTATTACATCAAAACATTATTACATTTGTTACATCAAAAACAAAATATTAAACATTTCTGGAACATTTACTAAATTCTTAAAAGAATTGAACGAAGTTTTCTTTTCTTTTAATTTAAAAAAAAAACTAACTTTTTTTCAATTTCTTTATAATTGAAAATATGAAATATAACAAAAGTGTATCATCATTAGCTAGATGTATTAAGATTTTAGCAAAATTTTAATTCTTGATATTCCATGGCTAAATTTATACAAATGTTTTCTTACTCAGATCGATTAATTCCATATTTTGTGGATATCCTGTTCTCCCACGTCATTTTAGACATTATTTATTTAATTCTTATACTGTTAAAACACTGAAAAAATACATAAATAAAGAAATTATTCTTTATTTAACTCGCAATAAATATTTATATGAATGATACTTCAGTTGTTCAAAAATGATGACACACTTTGCAGAATGACTTTGAGAAAAGATTAAAAAGCGTTTCCTGGTAATGTGTCCTTAGGTGGATATTTTATTTCAACTTTAAGAAGTGTTTTCCTAAGATGTAACAACACTAGTACTCATTACTTTCACAGAAATAATACTGTTTTATGTTATAAACAGCATATAAACTAGGAAATCTCAAATTTTTCTGGATAAATCTACCCTTTTGATTCATAAAGAATCAATTTTTATGCCCAAAACAAACCTGTAAATTAACATATTATTTGATTCGCCAAATAAAAAATAAAAATTCACTTGTTCATTTTATTCAATAGCATAGATTTCAGGCAACAAATTTTGGTGCAAGTGTAAAATCATGTCGACCAGGAAAGTTGGCTCAAATTCCATCGAGGTGAAATCAAATCGTTTCATATTGTAACCAGGGCTTATTTAATGAAAAATTTTAAAAAAAGTAAATTTTTTTGGGGAAAAAATTTTTGAGATTAATATTTTAGAACATGTAATTAAAAAAAAATTTCACTTAAAAATTTTTTCACTTCACTTTAAATGTATATAATTTTAGTAACAAAAAAGAGACTATTTTAGTGAGAAACCTTAGACGATATTTATCATTGTTGGTAAAAAATCGAGTTGATAGGCACAATTTTTAAATTTTGCAAAATAGATGACGGAATTTTACGCGAGGATTTAAGTTTTGTGTGGAAGAATACAATTTTAAAAACGATATGAAAAAAATTTTGGAATTCAAACTGCCCAAAAAATAAATTTTAAAATTATTCACAAAATAATAATGAGACATTTTTTACTGAAATGATTTTACCTTACCGCACGGAGAAAAAAATTCTGGTAAAATTATCGTACTAACTCGCAAAAACTTATCATGTGAAGAAAAAAAAAAGAAAAAAAGAACAACAACATATTTTTGGTTAATAAATAGAAAATACAAAACCGAGAAGTAAATTAAACTAAATAAATGGTTCGTATGCCATGCTCAAAGATATCATGAAAGAATTTTTAAATTTTGCCTCAGTTAAGAAATTTTTTCATATATTAAAAAATCTAAAATCATATTTATACTGTCAATTTTGCTAAAATCATTAACTAAGTCCTTCGGTAACACTTACTGGTGTACATACTGGTGTTCCCCTAAAGCCAGAAACACGGTAAATTTTAACATATTCTGGTAATTGTAAGCATACTTTTGTTCTCTGTGTGAAAGTAAGAATATTTTTTATTGAAATTTATTTCTTATGAATACATTAAAATAGCTTCGTGATATTAATCAACATTTTCGTTGTGTCAAACGATCCAAAATAATACTTAAAAACTTTTCTCGATCTTCTATATGAATGTTGTGAGAAACTCCTTCAAATTTTATGAGTTCAGCACTCGGAAAATGTTTTTTGATATTCTCTTCATCAGCTTCACTAAATAAGAATACAATAAGGTACTTATTTAGACAAAAAAAAATTTACAAATTTTCAATATAACAATTTGTTTTTCAAATTAAATATAAAATAACAAAAAGTAGTTTTTTTTCTTTTTTTTTCAAAGTCATTGTGATGCCACAATTGGCATACACATATTTATTTTCTATCTTTTAAAATATCTTTGATTTCTTAAGCTGATTTTTTTTATTAATAGAATTATATTTAAAATAAAGCACAAACTTAATCTTTTTAAAACGAACATAAAATATTTATTTCTTCTCTTCCAGATTAATGTAACGGATACTTTCTTTTTATTTCATTACTAATGCAGACTTATTAATTCACTGTCGCCTCTAATCGAAAACAAAAATCTATTTATAACTTTTTATTCTAATTTCTAACCGCAAAAATGTTTCAGTTGCATGGTTGTAATAATTCTCATAAATTTGTTGGCGACTCGTGATCGCCAAGGTATTATTTTAAACCCAATATTGATATGCTGGTTGGCTTTGTTTTGGCTATGTTATATTTTAATAAATCGCCAATTTTGGATCTCCTACCCATGCTTCTGTGTCCGTTGGGAACAAATTACATGTACTTTTTAATTTGGCTTTTGACTAGGCAGGTTGTGGGGGATTCGTCTCCCATGGCCTGACCTATTTTAATATTATTATGCAAAATTGATTCAACTGAAATTCTTATGAATGATTTTTATATTTTGTAACTCGAGCTCTGCAAATAATAAAATAAAAGCTTTTTTTTATTAATTCTGATCCAGCTCAACTATTATTTTCATCACCCTTCTGTTTTCATGTATTATTCAACTGGCCCACTATACCAATACAACCTCCATCCACACTGGAAATAATATCATCTCAACATAAAATGGCACCCTGATAATTCCTTCTCCATAGTCATGTAGATGTAAAACCTGCTTATTGTCCTTACGGAAAACGATTGCGTTAAATACAGTATAGACTTTCAAAGTTAATATTTAAGCAAAAGAGAAATTGCTTCTGATATATAATGAATTACTAGGTAGGAAGTTGGGATTAAAAACATCAAATCTTATTTTATTTTCGGACGAGACTTGCAGGCGTTTCCCATAGTAACCTTTCAATTTCTCTCTTTTTCCTCTAGCCACCAGAAGGATTTTAATGTTTCCTCTTTCTTCTCTTTAATAACTATTTTTTAAACAATTAATAAATCAGCATCGGCAGGGATGGGTGGACCATAGCCCGGTTATACACTTTCTCGGTATTCCCTGACCATATTCTCCCTGACCATATTTTTTTAATTATGGAGCGAATTTTTTGCTTGGCCGGTATGGTATTGATGTCAGTAGTAAGCGCCCCTCTTCGTGCGGCGGAAGTGACGTCATCATGGAAAGTCAATTGACTTTCCATGATGGCGTCACTTCCGCCGCACGAAGAGGGGCGCCTACTACTGATGCCATATACTGATTTTTTTTAAATTTCAAATAAAGAGTCATCGCGAACTAATGTAATGTAAATATTTATTTCTAATCCACGAGCGATTGCTCCATAGCATATTTTTAAAATTAATCAGTGAACATTATTAATGATGATCCAAAAAGCCAATGAGAGAAGAATGGGTGTTTCATAAAAATGTTTTACGGTTTAAAGAAAATTTTATAGCATGATTGTCAAAGTAGTAACATAAAAAATTAAATAAAATAAATCACTATTTTTTCTCTGTAATTTATGTAAGTCAAAACATACTATCATATCCAAAATGAGTATGGTTTGTGTTACGCATACTAAAGCACAAAATAGCAATTTTAATATAGCACAGCACAGACAAAATACAGAACTTTTTTTGTGCTTTATTCACTTCGATTTTCGCTTTATTCATGCAATCATAATTTTTCAATGCTTTTTTGTAATTGTATAAAATGCCTACATAATAAATGCATTGCTGGTCACGTTAACGGTAGGGAACACGTTAATAACTTCTGAACAAATTCCCAATTACCAAATTATTTAGCTTTTAATTTCCGAAAGGGTGTTCACAACTTGTAAATTTTTAGAATTGAAAGAATATTTCGAAGAAGGAGAAACAAGCATGTTTCATGGATTTTCTAAGTCATTTTAAATTGGTTTTTACTAATTTTTGTCACGTATGTTTTGTCGCCAAATGTTTTGCCTCCATGTTTGTACGTTAAACGTATCCATATTATTTTTTTGTTTCGAATGAGCTACAAAATCGGTCTTGCCGATGAGCAGACCTAGTGCGTTCTCCAGAGGTGGTATCCACTCTTTCAGGACCACCACAATGGATGAGATACCGTTGGTCATGTTGATTTGAACGTCTAGTTTCTGCCACACTAGATGGCAGCACCGAGACTCTATTTGGATGCTAAAGTGCACTAGGAATTTAATTTTGCCGGAAGTGCCAAGAGCCAATAAGATATCCATATTATATTTTGAAATATAACGTTTATGAATTTCTTTCGATTGCAAAACAGCGATGCTGACTTGGAATACATACCAAAACCAACTACTGAATGTTACCGCTGTAAAGTGTTCAGAGTTATTATTTACAGTTATTTTATTGTACCTAGACACCGTTTTGATCCATACAATATTCCTGTAAATGTTACTTGTATGCGTCAGGATTTATTTTCCACACTGACGCAAGCAAAAACAAAACAATGAACAGTCAAAGTAAACACAATGTACTTACACGTTCATGAAAGAACGATTCCCATACAAGAAATAAGCCGGTCCAGAAAACACACCGCTGGGATCCGGCATTAGTGTATCGTAGTTTTTAAGTGCTTTAAGAATTACATCTTTGTTGAAACTGACATCGTAACTTCCATCTGGTTTACGCTTAAGAACATAATCAGTGTGGAAATTACTACCCTTTTCATCAAAGTGAACCTTGAAAACAAAAATCTCAAATAAGCATGGAAATGCACTTTGTATGGATGGGTGGTCCAATGTAAACAATAACAAGCGTCCTTAAACCGGAAGAAATTTAGAAAATTTCAGATGTATCCCTCCGCTTATGTTATGACTACGAGGCGATGTGTGAACAAGCCTAATATTCTATGCAGTTTTTGTTATTGTAATTTGGGTTCAAATCTAAACATAATTGTACCATTCATTAGAGCTTTCAGAAATGTATTGATTTTCAGAGGTCGTAAGGCCAAGAAAAATTTTGGAAAGTTAATATCTCATTGTGAATAATTCTTAAGGTTTGCCATGTTTTGTATTTTATCCCTAATTTGGCTGCATATGAATAAAATGTCACCAAAAATATCTTTAAAAATATTTTTTTAAGATAGCCTAATTAGAAAATATTCTAATGATTATAACATTAATATGATAATGCTGAAGTTTAAAGGCTGAAAGAAAGAACTCGTTACATGTGAAATACTGCAAAAGATAAGATGCAATAATATGATGGCGCGTTTTCTCATTCTGCGGCGTAAAAATATATCGGAAGCAGTAACCCGGAAGTCTTGAAAGAGCAATTTTACCACTAGCGCCACCACCCTTAGCTTTACACGATCACCCATCCATACTGGTGAAATTTTTATTTCAAAATTTTGGTAAAATAACCGGTATCAGTCTGTCCATCCAATTTACAGCATAATTTAAGGTGAAGAACTTTTTTTTAACCCTTATAGGTTTGAAACTGTTTACATCTAGTATGGTTAAAAACCATGAATATAAAACTATTTGGTTTTTTAACCATTTGGAACTATCATAATTTCAAAACTGTAAGGAAGAAATTTTACTGGAAATTCGAGGTAATTTAGCAGCTTTATGGTGCTGCCATCTTTGTGTGAATGAGAGAACCATTTTCTAATAGTATAGAGTCGTAAATAGGAGAGTTCAGAACACTGGAAATTCTTCACATGTTGAAGGGAATGAAACAAATATTGCTGAGGAGAAATTCTGGCAGGGACTCGAATCTCTGTTCTGCCAGTCATGCGAATCACTGATTAGCCCCCTCGGCTATAATGTGTACCCATCTGCAATCAAAAAAGTGACTTCATCAGGTGGGCCTTGTTGGTGCGATAAAATTCTAGTTGTTCAACCGTATTGGGTAAAAGCAGTTAATAAACGATTTTTCTCACAGTTAACAATTTGAATACCATCTCATTTATGGTTACTTGACTGTTTTGTTTGAATATGGTAAAATAACAATTAAATAAATTGTTATTTAACCATTTTTTCGAGACATTTGCCAACAATGCGACATAAGATAACTCTTAAAACTTAGTATTTTTATTGAAAGCAGAACTATAAAATTGAATGTAGGTTATACACATTTAAATCGAACGTAAAAATGCCAGCTGAATTCGTTTTCAGGGTAAATTTTATATTGCAATAATACAATTAATTTTTAATGTTTGATTCTTGATTTATTAAATTTGATTATAAACGATTTTGGTATTCAGTACATTCAGATAGCACTGGAAAACCAAATTTTTTGTTGCATTTATGCAAATACTTAACCTTGTCTAGGTTAAGGTTGGAGATACTTTCAGGTTCAGGTATTTGCCGGTCTACATCCCCTAGGAGTTAGTCGCCACATTTATGCGACCTCTTTGTTATACATAACGTTTTTAGACTTCAACTTTTCGACAAAAAATAGAATAAAATTGTCATTGAAAAAACAAACTGTAGCTTGGAGAGAAAAACTGATTTCCAATTTGAAATCAGCGTCTAGAAAATATCCAAGATCCGCTAAAAAATCTTCGGCAGCAGAAAAAATTAATAAACAAAATTTTCGTCGGTGTAATTCAAATGAATGTTTAGAATCCATATTTGTTCAAACTAACTCATGGTAAAACTTAAAAAGTTGAACAAAATTAAACAGAGTTTTGCATGTTTTAAGTCTCCACCGTTTTATTAAGTCTGCTGCAGAGTGTGGGTCAGATAAGCGTCCATGTGAACAATAAAATACCGTGTATTTCTTAAGTACTATTTTAATGTTTTCAGCATCTGAAGTCATTAGAGCATGCATTTTTGAAATCGAATATGATTATTTAAATAAAGGGGAAAACATTCGGAGAACTGGATATCTAGTTTGCCAATGTCTTAGAATGGAAAAGTCGAATTAAAGTCACCATCCTTTATTTACCAGATTAAATCTGGAGGTGATATTAATTTCTTATCTTCAGAATAATAAAATAAAGTAACCGAACTGCCATAAATTGGGCACACGGAGTAATTTTTTAAATTCGCAATTTAAGAAAGATTAAGTTTCCCAATATAATGGGCAATGATACAAACAAATTACAACAAATAGCCAATGCTACAAACAAGCAAGTTACACAATAATTCACCACTGCAAGTGGGTTGGTGGCAACTGCAAAATTAAATCAATAGTAAATGAATCATAGAAAAGTAAAATCATGCAAGGGGATAAATCACCAGTATAAGGCAAACCAAGTGTAAAAGTTTATTTTAAAAACGAGAAGAAAAAAAATAGTTGAAAGGGGTTGAGATTGATAAGTCGAAAAAATCAAGTAAATTGTAAAATCAAAAGCCAAAAGAGCTCGTTAAATCAGAAAAAGTTAAAATCAAAAGGGCTTTAAAATCTAATATAGTTCAAATCAATTAGAGAAGTAGTTAAAAATAAGGAAAGCCATAAGGCCAAGATAAAAACAATTAAAATCAAAAAACGGATGCTAAGAACAAGAAAATTGGCTAAAATTCAAAGTTAAATCAGCCTAAAAAGTACAAAAGTCGAGTAAAAACAATCAAAACAAAAACGGAGTAGACAATTAAAATTCAGTAGGATAAAAGGTGATAAAGCATGATACAAACAATGACAATCCCGAATAAAATGAGAAATTGGTAAAACCTAAGTGGACAAGATAAGTGATTAAGTGTCTGGAGCAGGCAGGCTCTGATGCTAGGTGATTATATTTGCCAGTACCTATTCTAGCGTGGTTTTGATGATTGTTTTGATTTTATTCCTGTAGGCCAACTCTGCATAACACTGGTGTCGGTTTTTACCTTCAAATTGATCTCCACGGAGTGTCTGGAAGTGGGCGCTGTCAAATACGAGGTGGTCCATTAACTATTCAATTTGGCAATAATTATAGTTAGGAGTTTTGTTAAATAAATTGTGTTGGTGTACCCCAAACACCCTGTGGCCAGTTAAAAATTGATTTAAATAAAAGTCCGCCTGCAGGGGTTTTATTGAAGGGTCCTGGAAAAATATAAACGTCTGCGGGCCTCAATCAGAACTCTCCCAATTTAAATTTCCACTGTTTCATATTATGAGCTTTTAAAAATGCTTTGACCTTCAGAATAATCTGGAAGAGAAGGTATAGCGATGAAGGTTACTGATTCATCGTAAGTTTCCAGATCAGTTTCATTAATTTCAGATGGCTTTTTTGTATCAATTTACTTTTAGCTTAAATTTGTTATTTTTAATTAATAAATCCATTTATATTACTAGGTGTTCAAAACTCAATGACTAATTCCTTTTTGACTAACTAAAATGAAATCATGCATTCGATATAAAAAAAAATGCTCGGAAATAGAGGTGCTTAAAGAGAACAACGTATTACGAGCACCTTAACCGTGTAAAACTATTAAAAAATACTATTGACTGACGTCATACTGCTGTTACAATTTCATTTAGATGTAAGAGAAAAAAATATAAGTATGTGTTTAACATCTCCTGGAAATTATTACATTAAAAGTATTTAAGACAAGGTTTAAGATTAATAAAATAAAAATAGTAAAATAAGATGGCACACGTAAAGACTACTCTATAAAATAAAGGTACATTTAAATGTATATAAAAACTTAACATTCTCCAGACATTTGTTCAAAGAAGAATTTAATAAATGAGAATTAGAAATATTATTATAAACGTCGTTGAACAGCCGACCCATTTTTTTAGGTTTAGGACTACTAATGATCAACTCTGTGGCCCTGTAATTTTAAACCCAATATAAAAGACAAGGAAAGTCGGGGATCAAGTATTGGGAGAAATATGCCTTCGTGATGAACTAACCCTCATTTGCATTACTTGGAGAGGTAAATTACGAAGAGCTCCCTTGGTTAGACGGATGGAATGGGACTCTAAACCATGATCAGTTGACCTTAATACAAAAATCAATGACCTTAGTACAAAAAACTGAATTTTTTTTAATCGAAAAATGCCCTAAAGATCAAACTAAACAAAGTAGAGAACGCCCAAAGCATAAACTCCAATAGTAATAGTTCAAATATTTGTGGAATGGTCACGCTGCTTGAATGTGGCATGCGTCCATTGATAAGACGCCCTGAATTTTGTTCACCTATGATAGAAATAGCACTATAAAATTAACGATAAGAATCATGATTAATTTACTATAAAAGGGACAATAAGAAGGTATTTAAAAACTTAACGGAAATTAGTTCATAATGTAAGGTGTTGTTGGCTACAAACCTGAAGTAATGAAATGGAGGAACCACTTGAACCTTTTTTTTTACTAAGGTCGTATTCCAGTTCTAGTCCACAAATATCAGCACATAAGTCTTAATTAATAATAGAAACGAGTGGACCACGCCCCCTGCTCGCTAACTCTCGCCAACCTAAACCAAGCTCGCTTCGTTCGCTACTAACTTAGCTACATTGCAAATGCACAAAATTCTAAGAATTCAAAACAATCATTCAAACCCATATAACAACTTTTCTTTTTAAATTACTCCTTATCATAAATACTAAGTCGTTAAAATAAATTTAAATTCAAATAAATGACACGTAATTCGTTAAACCTATTAGAAATGTGCTACAGTATAAAATCTTAAAGCGTAACAGCACGACTGAGACTCATTTTTCAATGAATAACTAATCACAATAANTATAAATTCGTGAAAAAAGCGCTTTCGACAGAATACTAAAATAGAGATCTATCTACAAAGACTACTCACTTCTGCCTAGCTTATGCTCTCTCTGGTTATTTCAGTTTCCGTTTTTAAAAGCGCTATATGTTGAGCCATCACAGCTAGATTTTACATGTGACATTTTTAGCGGTAATCATTGGTCGATTTTCTAGCGTTGCCATTCGGAGAGTTGTAATGAGACTTTTTTAGTTGTAATGAGACTTTTTTTTGTCGCCGTGTAAGAGAAATATATATATAGATGTTTAGTAATGGTTAATAAATATACAATAATATCCATCAAATTAGTAATTGAAAAGTTTTCTCAGCACGTTAAGAATATGTCGAAAAAATTAGGATGTGTTTATTCGTGTTTCAAAAAATGAAAATAAAGAACTTTAGTCGAAAAATCTTTTTTCTTCGAGAAAAATAATTTGTTAAAATTAAAATAAATTTTATTTTTTATAGAAATGAATTTGAATTCCCCGAAATTATATTAAACAAAAATTAATTTTATACTTACTGAAAGATCTTTAATTTGAGCCTGACTGAACAGCTGAGTAAATACAAATTTCCTCGCTTCTATTTCATTCATTGAATCTGGAATACTTTTAACAGCTCTTATCAGCATATCTGTAGCACAAGCCAACAGATCAACGAATTTTTCAGTTAATTTCTTTACATACATATCTTCCGAGAAAAACATCTCTACTCTTTCTGGCTTTAAATATAATATTGGATACAATAATTAGATACAACAAAGTACAGTGCGCAGAAAAATAAACGGACCTCCCTAAATAACTTTTAATCAAATGATCGGATTTTTTCGTTCAAGGATTCAATCTTAATGGTTCGAGAGGCTAACCTTAAATATGATAATGAATTATTACAAACAATATATTGAGTTACAAAATTAGACATAAAACGTACTTTCTCTGAATAAACATATTTGTTTCAACAGACATGGATTTCTGACCCCCGAAATATAGGTTGGAAAATATAGTCTAAATAGTTCGGTCAGGAGAGCGGTCCAAACCTTGGGCACCTTAATGTTAATTTTAATTTTTTAGCATTTCCCCATATCTCGAGAACTTCTTAAGAAATTTGAATTTTTTTTTCGCTCAATTATAAAATTTGTTTATTCAAAGATAATTCCACACGAAAGAAAAATTTTTATTATTTCTCATTATCTAATTTAGTAATAGTCGAAAAATTTAGAATTTTATGACGTAATTTTTTATGTATCTTTTTCATGGCACAATACAAAATCTGAATGAAATCGGTCGAAACGTTCCTGAGAAATCGAATTTTTAAAAAAAATCGTTTTTGTAACATTGAATCCTAGAACGTGAAGATCCGATCTATAGAACAAAAGTTATTTACGGTTGTTCGATTTCTATTTTGTGCAATATAATTATTTCATTTTACTAGAAGAAATTGAAGATTCTATGCAGACATTGAATTTCAAAATAATTTACGTTTCAACTAAACTTCGGAAAAATTTTAACTTATTTTCTACATTTTTGATATATTTTTTTTTTTTAATGAAAAGGAGATATTGGGTAGCTTTCATGCCCATATCCAAAATACTCGTCTTTGCACAGTTACACAATATTTTTACACATGGTAATACTCACGTATCTATTATGTACTAAGTATTTAACGAGTACTATGTACTTGACGAGCCACAGGAGCGGCTCGTTATGTACAGGCCTTGCTAATATATTTGGTTCAGGAAAAATAAATTATTTTTACATAAAATTTAAGACTTAACATATTTTAAATTGCCAATTTGTTAAATAATGCACCATTTTGTTTGGTAATTTGTTGCCATTTAAAAGGTAGCCTCGTAATGCTCCTCTAATAAAAATCTTGTTCTCGGAGGAGCCTGTAATCCCTAGAAAGAGCATCGGAGAATGCTTCCATTGGATGGTGGGAGGGAAATAGAAAACCTCTCATGGACCCATAGGTAGAAGTCCAACCTCTTACGGCTTTGGCAGCAATTTTTCCACATAGGATCAATCTAGAGTTTACGGCCTATAACTGTTACCGTCAATACCAATCTCCTTATCCTGTGCTAAAAAACGAGTTAACTGCTACTATCCTTGAAAAGGACATGCAGACTATCAACACGTGGTCAGAAAGTGACATAGTCCGTGCGTATATAGATGTCTCTTCTAATAATACTGTAAAAGTGTGCACGTGAACATTAATTATATTCTTATTGCATATTTAGTATTCCATGTTTTGGCAACAGCAGTTCTTGTGTACGATTTAGATTTTGAGTTTTTAGGAATAACGGTGTGTGTAAATTTTAATAAAAGTATTGTTTTGTTTTTCTTTTAAAAGTTGTTTCTTACATTATCAGAAGTGGGATAAACAGGCAACTGTAATTAATTTTGAGTTTTGAGTTTGAAATGGCATTTTTATCGCGACTTCGTAAAGATCAGTTACGTTACGTAGCTAATGAGTTTTCTGAAGATGCTTCGTCTACCACTTTGAAAATCCCTGACTTGAGAAAGTTAATATTGAATAGCGAGAATTACGATGAAGAAATGGTTCGAGGAATGGTAGAAAATTTAGTTGAAGACGCCGAGCGCCTTCGTCAAGAAGAGAAAGAAAAAGCCGAGCGCCAACATGCACATGCATTGGAAAAAGAAAAAGCCGATCGCCAACATGCATTGGAAAAAGAAAAAGCCGATCGCCAACATGCATTGGAAAAAGAAAAAGCCGATCGGGAACATGAATTGGAACTCAAGAAGTTAGATATTGCTGCTAAAACTTCAGAAGTAGTCGAAACTGAAGTAATAACATCGTCGCCAAAAGTTGATTGGCAGTCACAACTGAGAAAGTTTTCTACGAGTAATGAGGATATCAGCCTTTATTTAGTACATTTCGAGAGAGTAATGAAAAGAGTACAAATGCCAAGTTCATTGTGGATGGCATGTTTAATTAACCAGTTACCAAGTGAAATTGTCCAAATGATAATGAGAGAACCAGAAGAACAGTCAGAAAATTATGACTATGTTAAATCTCTTTTGCTTAAGTGCTACAGACTAAGTCCTGAAAAATTTAGACAACTTTTTTATTCTCATGAGAATACTGATGGAAAGTCATGGAAAGAATATTACCACGAGCTTGAAACGTATTTTAATGGGTGGACTGCAGGACTTAAAATAAGTAGTTTTGAGAGTTTAAAAGACCTGATCATCACAGATCGAATGAAAGCTCGGGTGCCGCCAGATATACGAGAACGTTACTTGGATCAGTGGACCCATATAATTTCACCTTATACATTAGCTGAAAAGGTAGATGAATTTATTGAACTCAAAGATGTTTTTAAGAATCATATTCAGTATAATAATAAATATAGTAACAATAAGTTTTTGAAAGAAGAAAATGTCGCCAAAGGTGAACAAACAGAGCCAAGTCGAAGTACAACTAATAATCAAACTGTTTGCTACAATTGTTATGATACCGGCCATTTTGCCCGTGATTGTGTAAATCCAAAACGTCCAAAGTTTTGTACTGCCTGCAAAACAGAAGGACATGGTACAAAGGAATGTCCAAAGATAGCGTCTTTCCCATTAGTCAATGCAGTTTCGTTTTCACCCAGTTCCAGTAATAGTACAACGAAGAATATTATCATAGAAGAAGTAAATACAAGTGCTCTTATGGATACCGCTGCTGATATATCTATGTTAAAATATAGTTTTGCACAAACGCTTAATAAAAATATTCATAAAAATATAGTTACACGAATTCGGGGTATTGGAGGTGTAAGGAAGTCACTAGGAATTATCATACTTAATGTGACTATAGACAGGGTAAAGCTGAAGGAAGTTCTGTTTTATGTAGTGACTGATGATACATTTGAAGGCCCGGATGTTCTCATCGGGAAGGACATCATTGACGCACCCGAGATAATAATGGTTAGAAATCAAGGCAGGTCCAAGTTAGTTCATGTGGAAGACCTGGATTTTTTGCATGATTTCCAGATTAATGAAATGCCTGATAGGGTTGTGTTGAAGACCCTCGAAAAGTTCGTGATTGAACCGCGTACAGTTCAATTGGTAACGCAAGATCTACTACCAACATCAAATGACTACGTAAATCCAACAAAACTGCAAAGAAATGCCCAAGAAAGTATTATCATTGCACAAGAAAAGATGAAAAGGAATTATGACAAACATCGATGTGATGCATTTAAGTACAATATAGGTGACGTTGTGGTCGTAAGACGATTACCTGAACAAACTGCCTTATCTAACACTAAAACCCAAGTTAAGTACAGAGGTCCTTTAACAGTCATCAAAATATTACCATCCGACACTTATCAAGTTACTGATTTACGCGTAGTTGGACAAGGAAGAAGAAGGCAACATAATTATACGACTACCGCCCACGCTTCGCAAATGAAACTATTTCATCTGGTCAACGACGAAGATCTGTCTGATGATGGGGACAATATTACTGGAAGTAAGGAAAACTTCATTGCTTGTGAACCCATAAACGACAGCAACAGTACAAATCAATGCAACGACGATCCAAATAAAAATTTAAGCCAAGATAACAGTAGACCAAAGAGATGTAAAAAAGTGCCGCATTACTTGATAACTTGTTATAACTTGGATTATAACTTGTTTTGAAGGGACGAGGTCGTCCAAAAGTCAGCATGGTCGAGTGTAAAAGTGTGCACGTGAACATTAATTATATTCTTATTGCATATTTAGTATTCCATGTTTTGGCAACAGCAGTTCTTGTGTACGATTTAGATTTTGAGTTTTTAGGAATAACGGTGTGTGTAAATTTTAATAAAAGTATTGCTTTGTTTTTCTTTTAAAAGTTGTTTCTTACAATACCATCCAAAATCGAAGAGCAGGCGTACACTTTGACCTGCCGAACGGCACAACCATAATCTTTGCAGAAATCTGGTCACATTGCCTTAAAATTTACCAGTGAAGAAATCTACGAAATCAATGTCAAGAGTGATCTTATACAATCCATCAATTGTTTAAGATCCGAGCACTTCAGGTGTATAAAAATCAGCACAGATGGAGTAAGAGCTTTTGATCTTGCAACAACTGCAAAAGATACACCACTAACTCTTCTCCGTGTGCTTGACTGCCCTGCAATTTCATGCCCCCTGGCTCTCCTTGGGGAATACCCTCTCGTGGTGTCTCTACTCGAACAAGATCGCCGAGATTGCTGCCTGTGTGCTTTAAGCACATGGTTATATTTGATCTTCCATGGACATGACGCTACCACTACCCCATGGAGGTCTTTGTTCCTATTGGCAAAAAACTCTAGTCATCGATTTTCACACTCCCATCTTGACGACAATTTCTTATCACTGAGGAAGTTTTTCAATGCAAGAAAAAGATGTCAATTGCTTGTTGCCAAGTCTGAATTATATAGTGGATGCATCAAAACTTCCCAACCAAGCTCCCTGAGTTTCTGACTAATCACTATAGACGTGTGTGGCCTAGCGTTGTCTTGATGAAATACAAAACCTCTCCTGTAGCCCTATTCTGGCCATTTCTGGTCAATCACTAGCCTTAAACGGATCGGCTGTTGACAATAAAGATCTGAATTTAGTGTTTGGCCATATGGGAGCAACTCATAATAAATTATTTTTCCCCAGTCCCATCAAATGCACAGCAGAAGCTTCCAGGTTTGGCCAACGTGAGTTGCTTCACCGAGCTCTGACCACGGTCGCTTCAACCGAATGTTATTGCATGTTATTGCCCCATTTCTCATCCCTAGTCACCACCCGTTTAAAAAATAGGTCGGTTTCATTTTGTTTAGCTAAGACTTCGCAGATGAAAATTCGAACCATCATGTTAATCCATCAATTGGTATAGAACTTAAACCTTCTGCCTTATTTTTGAATCCAGCTTTGTGCAAATGATTTAAAACTGTTTTATGGTTGAAACTTATTAACTGCTAACATGCCGGTCAACTTCGAACATTTCTGTGATTTTATCAAAACACTCTACATCTTCTGCTGAACTGCATCTTCAACAGCAAAAATTTCTGGATTGAATCATCGAAACCAAATTTGCACGTAATCTCGACTGTTACATAAACACCATTCACAATCTCAGCCACCTAACTTGCATTTTTCGCCTTCAAAGAAAATCTGTAACATGTACCGAATTTTCTCTTTGTTCCATTTTTAGCACCCTATAACTCGCAACTGAATGGACCAAACAAAAAACATTATTTTTAGAGCAAAACGCTTTAATAATTTTTAGGGCTAAACGTTACTTTTCCAACGAGTATAAATCTAAAATTATTTGATTGATATTCTGTGATATATATCCATCATTACAGCCATTTACTGAAAAAGATAATGGAATGGATATAATTTTATAGCGGGTTTATTTTTCAGATTTTAAAAAAGCCTTAGTTTCATATTTAGTAAAACTTTTACAAAATTGTTGTTAACTGTTTAATTCTAGGAATTTTCATTTTCTAAATAAATTAAAATATTGATTTTCCTAAGTTTCATTAGTTTTTTATTTTATTTATGTTTGAATAATATAAAGACAACACAAACGGGTACTAGAACAATTCTCCTTGTTTTCTCTTCCTTTGAACATCGATTGAGATTTAAAACAATTAAATAATTTATTTTAAGTTTGATTGATTTATTTTATTGCCCATTTGCAAATGGATCTTAGTTTGGATTTGATAAAGTGCACACATTTTTCAACTGTGTTCAAGAGTTATAGAATAGTAAACAGTGCGCATGCGTCGTCATTGCATGCGTTGCTATGACGACCGCTGCTGTTTTTCTTTTTATTTTCACTAGCAGTACTCTTACTTTCTTTAAAGCTGCTCTGCACGCTGTAATACCTCCCATACTGTGACCAACTATTATTGCTTTCGAAACATTCATGGTATCCATAAAGTAGAAGAGGTCATCGATATTTATTTCGGAATTCATGATATTGCCGTAATCGCTGCCGCCGAAATTCCTGGCATCATATGCATATGTCTGAAACACAGTATAATAAAAGATCAATTACTCATGTTTCTGTTTTCATAATAACGATTATGTAATAAATTTATTGGCTCAATGAAAGAAAGTATTTCTTTTAAATTAAATATAACTTATGCCAAATTCTTATAATGATACTGAATCATCCTCTTTTCAATATTTTTTCAGAAACTTTTCCTAAATTGAAAATGTTCACATATGAGATTGCTGTAATTATAATTAGCGCTACCTTGATCGTTATTTGCGCTATAAAGTCACTCGGTTTCTTTTTTTCTCCTCTTTTTTCTCTTCTCCGTTACCATGGTTTCGGCAAACCTTGCGTATTCTCACCACAGTCATTATATTCCAACTTCCTTAATGAAACGTTTTGCTGCAGGGAAAAAAGGTTATCATGGTCACTGAAACCATGATTTTGGAAAGGAAAAAAGCGTGAAGAGAGGGAAAAATCGAGCAACCTTGTACCGCCTATTCCACTTTCAAAAAGTGCATTTTATATTTAAGAGAGAAAAAAACGAAAATTAATATCGATGTCTGGCAAAATAGGAAAGCAGGAATAAAATCGTTAACTTATTTAGTTTTAGCATGGAACTTGAAGGTGTTTTCTAATAATCGCCTTTCAACTTCATTTTCTCTTCCTGCAATTAAACAGCGTTTTTTTTTTGTTTAAATAAAATATCTAAACAATAATTCACCAGATTCCGTTAGCACTTTTGTTTTCCCTCGCTTAAATAAGCATTTGTGATCCCTAATCACCTATTTTTTTACATCATCTTTCACAAATCTAGAAATACATCAAAAGCGTTGGTCACAGAGCACCTTGAATAAGAGATGTACATTAGTATTAATATTGCACGTTTATAATGACGACCAACTACAACAATGGAAAATGTGAGGAAAAGTCATGTTCTCTTTTTTTTGAAGTGTATTGCACTATTTTTTTTAATTAATTATATAAAAGCGATCAACGTTTAGTAAGAAAACAAAAAAGAGAATAAAAATTCTCTGATACTCTTCTAAAATTAACAATGCATGTAAATGTATCTAAAATTGATGAAAGAGGCATATAAATTTTTTATATGTGTTTTGATGAATGACTTATAAGTAAAGCTGATTTAAAACATTTATTATCTATGAACACAACGACTATAACAGGAATCCAAGGATATTTTTTTAAACAAACGGTATTCCGGTTTTTTCAAAGAGTTTTATAAAAAAAAACTGAAAAAAAATTTTAAAAAATACTGGCTATCGAGATCACTTTTAAAAAATTTATTTATTTAATAAAAAAAAAAGCACTTTTCTATTTCGCCGCCGCAAGCGATTAAGTCGCCAATTCGAGGTTACCGGGAGCTAATAAATTTAACTAGTTTTTTCTTATAATTTATTTTATTTAGGTGACGACTTTTCTTTTTTAAAAAACATAAATCTATACATCTATACATAATAATAAACGCGGCTGTGTGTGTGTGTGTAATCACAATATATCGCCCCAGAAGCCTCGCCCAGGCACGAAACTCGGCCCATAATTGTGTTTTGACATAATGAAGAAGTATTTTTTTTCTTTTTCAAAAATTTTGATTAGTTATTTAGTTATCAGTCATTTTGTAAGTCTATGCTTTTCGTCTGCTTTTTCGTCTTCAAAGAGCCATATTCAAAAAACTATTAAAAAATGCATATACTTTTCCCCACTCTTATAAATGTATGCTAATGCGAACCTCACAATTGAAATATTAATTTTCGACAACTTAAACCAATAATATACGAAGGAATTAATAATTTAATTGTAAAGTTCGCATTAGTTTACATTTATTAAAGTGGAGAAAAGTTTAACTTTTGTATTAAAAATGTGGCAACATATTCGATACGTAAATAGAACGCTTCGCTTTGATATATTTGTCGCTGTTCATAATTGTTATAATAAGTTTTTCTTCTTCTTTCCACGCTCTATTTTTTTTTCTTAAGCGAAGACGATAATTTTTGTAGCGATATAGAAATAGAAATTGATACCATAAAAAATTATATAGAAATAGAAATTGATACCATAAAAAATTAATTCGTTTTCGTGTTCTTTTCATGTATTTAGCATTTTAGTTTTTTTTTCTTAAGCGTTGTAGCTATATAATATATAAAATAGGAATTTAATTGTTTTTGAAGGAACGATCACACTTACCTTGGATCTCTTTGGTTTTTCTATTCTTTATTTTAACAGTTTTTATTAAATGTAATTAGTTATTTTCAGAAAGTTTCAGTTTGCAGGTAAGCACTTAGATTTTAATATTGAAGTTTCATGATTTGCTTTCATAGTAATTGTTGTTCTAAAGTATTCGTTGACTTCTTAAAAACCCGATTACTGACATGGCAGAACCGCCTTCCAAAAAACTTTGTATTTTGTCAAAGAAAAAGATATTAAGAGATTCTCAGAGAAGAAGGGCCCAAGAAACGTTTGTGGAACGTTAAAGAAAGATGGAACATGACCGAATTTCGACAAGCAATTCTAGAGCCCAAGAAGTATTTCGTGTGGCGGACAGCTGGCCGCCTTAGGCGGCTAGTAAACTAATAAAATCGCTTAATTTGCTTGTGCTGGAGAAATGGAAAAAAATTTTTATAAAATAAGCATACGTGGCAGGTCTAACTTTCTAGCAT